TGACATATCAAATTACGGATGTAGAGTTCCTTGAGTTTAATATAGATAATATACAAGTAAAAGCACACTAATAAACGTCCTAGCTTGTAGGTATTATAAAGTCGTAGGTACCAACCCTAATTAAATTTCTAGGATGAGTGCCTCGATGATGCTATATTATCTTACCTATTAACCTTTTGATAACTATTCAGTCAAAATACCATAGATTAAGATACAATTATTATACAATGGATAGGATATAATTTATGATACATAATCACTAATAGTTTAATAATTAATCTCGAGGGCCTATAAAAGGTTAATAGCATATAATAGATACATTAGTAATTATTTACTCCTTATTAATTATTCTATCCAATAGCAATAGTGGGACCGATAATGCAATCGGTTGGTAATGTTAACCAAACTTGATATAAAAAATTGCATTAAAGCGAGGGGCCTATAGGAGAGATAACTAGTTAGGAGGGGCCTATTAGGATATACTAAGTGAGCGCCTATATGGGGAATTACTTACCTCGATATTAGTATTAGCCCTATTTATGGTGATATTAATTATCTATATAATTTTGAATAATTATCGTCTAAAATACTTATCATCTAAAATATCAATACCTTGCACTAGTGAGGATAGGGTTCCTCCTAAACTGACGCATCAGATTGAAGGCCCATTAATACATCATCTAATACAATTATTCTTAGATGATCTATATTATTAGCTTATAAGGTACCATAGGTAACCATTATGTCTTGATCATGGTATTAACCAATATATGCTTATACCGTAATTCGAAGAGATTCTTATAACCCATAAACATGACGGTTTATAATAATTGGTTTTAGGGACATTATATTCCTCGAATAAGCTATAACCTATAGGGAATTCAATTATACTCACACCTACTTATTGACCACATCTTTAAACTGTCCTTATTTACCCTCATAAAGAGGACATCCTTTTTACAACATGAATAACCCTTATGTGCCTATTATATGTTATGGAGTGAGGATCCTACTATGTTTCTTGATTAGGGAAATAGTGTACTCTTTATAATATAATGAGGGGTTTGTATTGTATACTATTCAAAATATTATGCTAATTATACTATTCTCATGATCAGTTATATAAAGTTAGTGCAGGGTGTGTCAAATAATGTATTAAATAACATGGGGTAAGGGGTCATAGTTAATTCCTAATTATAAACCAAGGACTGATTATATTATGCGGCTTATATGTGGGGTAATATTGTGTAGAACATGGCTGAGTAAATGGATAGTATTGTGCCTAATATTCTTTGAGGTTGGGCTATATCATCTATTAAGGACTCTAAAGAATATTATAAAGGACTATTCTTACTACCTAGAAGTTTTATAATTATATACCCTTTATCGTGACCTCTAGCATGAGTCATCCTAGGACTAACAGAAGGCCTTACCATTTCATAAATTATATCCAATTAATGGATATAATCCTAGGTATGATAATTTGCTTATATGAATTAACTAGACAAGTCTTTCTATTGGTTCATGCTTGACTATTCCAAATAATAGGACCAATGGGGGTTAAAGAGTATTTGAGGGATTACCATAAATCTTGGGTTATTAAACAAAATAAGCCCCTAGTACCAATATGACATAAAATATGGTTTGTTCCCACTATATTATCGAAATCTCTTGTATTTTAGGGTAAATCTCAAAATTTAGACGATAAGTATGCATCCAAACTACTCTTATTTAGGAAATTATAGTCTTTAATATCATTAACAGTATGTATGTATACTTTGATTAGGTATAGGCCAGCCATACCTTGATATTAATGATATATTAGGTTAACCCATTGGCTATAAAATTAGCTGATTAGATAATTTACCTTCCTATCTCATCTATTTCTCTATACCTAATCTAATAATGGATAAAAAATATTTATTAGATAGAAATATAAGAGAGAATCATAAGGGGCATTTGGCCTATTCTTATATAGTTCCATCTTATAATATTTCTTGGGTAGTGGTATACTTAAAAGTAATCTCCCCTATTTATCGGAAGGCCTATTGTCCCATATGTAATGTGATATCATCCAAATTTTGATATTTTAATATGTTATCAATATGAATTAATAGGTGGCCTCTACCATATGTATTAAGGGCCTAAATACTTACAATATGTGTGTACTTTGATTAGGTAATAAATCAATATATGGGGACTTTTTACTCATAACTATTGCAACACATCGGTAGGGTAGTTAATGATTGTAGGCCTTTAATACCTATGGTCGAGGCCACCTATTAATTCATAACCTAATATAATGGCATGTAATTAGTTAGGCATATGGTATAATTATAGATTGGAACAAGTAATAGTCGTTATTGCAAATAAATAGTGTATAATATTACTTACCCTATTTAACAAATAAGTAGTAGGGGATCAAGTTAAACATTTAGTATGTTACCTAGTTACTAGGTATAACTAGTATGACATAGATATATAACTAGGGATAATTACCTAGCTAATTACATATAATTATAATAGACTAAGGCCTAACATTAACATATCCATTATGAAAAGTTATTGTTATATCAATCAACTACTACATGGTCCGATATATATTCTTAAATATAGGTCCATAGAGAGTTATGAACATTTTAATGTTTAATTATATACTATTTGTATATTAGGCATTTAGGGTGTTCTATTTCCATTAGAGGATTGAATATATATCATGTTTGATAGTCGATAATTGTACCCACTATAATTTGTAATCATAATTCATAATGGTCGTACATTATATGTAATATATGATTTGTTTACCCAATAAAGGATCATTTAAATTATTGGGATTGGCATATTGATAAATTTTAATATTAGATTCTAAATATAGATTATCCCTTCAATAATTGGGAGGTTACCTTTAAGCCCTATGATCCTATGAATTTTACCTATAATTGTATGATTTAAATTATACCACATATTATTTGCTTTGGTAGTATACCCTAACATCTAGATATGATGCTCATTGAGTTATTGTCACCCCTCTACTAGTTATATATTAATAGGTATAAATATGTTTTTATATACTCTATGAATGTACCTCGACTATTAATCTAGTTGTAGAATTATACTACAATAGATATTTATTGATGGATAATAACCTATAATTATTGGTTAAACCATTACTTAAGAGGGATAATAACCATTGGACATATCTAGATGTTATCATTATACCCATTAAACTTTTAATAAGTGGATTCAATATAACAATCCAATCCCAGGGGAGCCATTATTCCATATGTATCTAAAGTATTGTAATCATATTCTAATTATATTCTTTTAACTAATATTGGATATAGAGACCTGATCTAGGGTTATAGGGACCTTAGGGATTGTTATTATTAGCCTAATATAAAGGTTATCATAATACCTCCATTAGTATGGTAAGTTATTTTAATATCCTATACTTATATCCCTTTATATAGTTGGTCTCTATAATTAATTTAATAAACATTGTAGTATCCATAAACTAATACTTGTCCCCTTATGAGAACAGAATATGTGAATTATCATATCCCCATAATCGATAGGCCAAATTTATATTAATTATAGAGAGTATTCCACTTGGCCCGTTAAGTTATCATTAGTACTAATTCCCTACTCATATATTTACTTGGTTTATATACTTAGGATCACCATAGTTTATTCCCCATCCCTAATATAGGATAAGATTCATTCATAAGATACCCTATAAATAAATCGGGGAGATATTTTCCATAATGTTCATAGAAGGTCTTATCTCCTTACACATGTTTATACCCCACTCCAATATCATTCCATAGTAATATCCTCATATTAGATATGTGAATAATATTATTAGGATCATATTAATCCTATGAATAGTATGTTATATCCCTAGTGTAATTGACATAATATAACTAAAAGGAAGGATATTCCAAAATAATTCAATAAATATAACTAGCCAATTGGGTGAACCCCTCCCTCTCACTCGTGAGTTATCATAGAGGAACAATATATTTGGAATATCCTTCCTTTTAGTTAATATATTATGGGAAATAATCCCTCTCACCAGTAATTTAATCTATGTGATGAAGGAAGGAGGGAGGGAGAGAGGGACAATTAGGATAGGACGAGAGAGAGGCATATGTTTCTAATCGAATGGTAAGGCCAATGCATTTTATAAACTGTGCACACAAAAAGTTATCCGTCATGAAGGAGAATCGTATAAAGATGTAATTTAGCCATTAGATCACCTGCTAATATTTTCCCTTTTTACGTCTACATTTTAGACTGAATAGCTTATTAGATATAATGATAGGTTTGCCTATAAACTAGGGCCATATGTTTCCAATCGTACATGAATTTAGGCTAATAAATGGATCTGTGTAAGATAGATTATTCAAAAACTTGGATAATATCATTTAGTAAGGCTATTAAAACCCTTATATCTATATTTTAGTATAATATTATCCCTATATTGAGAGACCCTCTTGATGGTTGTAATCCTCTACAGTGATAGAGAAAGGTAATTTACATAACATATGATAAGATAATATTCCTTGGGTGATTATTTTAAAATCAATGATATTGGTGTGACTATTAATATTGCTTCTATATGGTCAGCCATTATTACTTTTTAAGTCATTTGGATGAATAAAGTTTGAGCGTAGACCAATAAGGCTCTTTGGTAAAAACCATCGGATATCCAATGGATTAATTATACAATATTGGCCATCCATTCCTCTAACTATCGATTGGAGCCTCTCAATATGATCTATGGGCTAGATATTGTTATGCAAGGAACTTCAGTATTAGATTAGGTGTCTATATTATCATATCTTTTCCTCTCAAATTAACCATTTATAGTATAATTAACCCATTTGTTGTCTAGATAGGGGTATTAACTAGTATATTGAGGATGAAATAATGAAAATATATAACTATGAAATAATGATATAAAATAATATATATATATATCGTGTTAAATAATTGACTATAAATGATTGAAGATATTTGAGAATCGAAGAAAACTTGTGTGTAAATCAAGGCAATCTTGTAAGACTGGACTCTTTCACCTAGCTCTGTAAATTTAGATGCAAATAAGATGTAACGCAATTTTCAAAACTAGTCATAGTTTATTGGTAAAGTGACAATAAACAAAAGATTAATAATTTGGAAGGAAGAATTATAAGGATATTTACCCTATCATAACCATCTTAGACCCTTATTTGCATCTTATATTCCTTTAATATTGGTTAACTTTATAGATGTTAATAAAGTTAGGGACAATACCATTCTCATTACACCTTATTTGGAGGAAAGTTATTACCTATATGCTTATCTCTTACTTTTTAATATATCCCTTTACTAGTTTATTTTAATCACTATGTTCCATTATAGATATGTTAATTGGATAAGATATGACATGACTTTTTATTTGAGTCATCTCTCCCCCTAGTTTATTTTTAGTCCATATGATTATAATATGGTCTCTAAGCGTTTAGTGAACCAGGAGGTGCTAGCTATTTATAGGTGTACTGGTTATATTTTAATGAACATATCTACAATGAAATGTTATAAGGCCTATAGAGAGGGATTACCCTACAAATTACCTTTCTAATATATCTCACTCTCTCATCACTAAGTTATTAGCTCTTAGAGAATGATATGTTAACCCAATCTTATGTTGATGATTGATAAAACCACTTAGCATGTGTTTATAACCAATTAGACAATATATTTTTGGTAACTTAGTGATGGGAGAGTGAGATATATTAGAAAGGTGATTTGTAGGGTAATCCCTCTCTATAGGCCTTAATTATCATGCTATATTAAGCTTAGTCTCTAATGACCCACTTGATATAATATCATTTCTACTTTATTAATAAAAGAGAGTACTAGTCAACCCTTCATATGCCTTAGTGAGGGAGAGGGTCTAAGCCCTCTTGATAATACCCATTATTCTCACTTGTATCCCTTGCATACATATCGAGTATTTAAAATATCTCCTCGTATACTATTAAATTATCTCACCTATGTTTTCATGCTTACCTATTAAGTATTATCATGACTCATCTTCTCACATATTCTTGGTTCCACAATCTCATATGGGAGAGATTTTAGTTGAATACTTAAACTTATGTATGTGACTCCCTTATCTAGGATAATAATGAGGTTGCATTTTTGAAGGAAGGGCCATGAAAAAATGGTCTATTAAAATATCCTTATTGTAATACCAAGTTGAATGTAGGGGTTCACCCCTACAAGTGGTTGATGGGATACTACTCAATTTTCATACTCTAGTTAACTAAAGCTAGGAATTGCTTTTCAGGCTCACGATAGTAGGAAGACATAGATTTTAGAGTCCTAAGAATGGATGTGTTATATAATATCCCTATTCATTAGTGAATAATATTTACAACACATGACTTTTAAGCATTTTTCCCTCCTATGCTTAGCGAAGATTAGCTTAACGAATTTTGGTTAAAGGTGCTCTCTCTCCCTCACTTGGCTTCCCTCTCTCCCTCTCTTCCTTTATAAACAGTTAACTAGCATATTACCAATTTTACAAAATGATGGAAGAGGGAGAGATGAAGAGAGGGAGAGATATAATTATCCTATAGTTATTGATTTACAAAATAAGGATGAATGTTTTAAAGATATTATCTCTTGTGGGGGCGCATTCATAGCTTACATATCCATGATTAAAAACTATGTAAGGACATATATAAATTACTAATTTATTAGTGACATGCACATGTCATATTAAATAACATTAGAGATCTCCTAATATTGATCAAATGATACATTTGTTTTAGGCTTGTTAAACTTGAGATGTTTACCATTCACGACTTGAGATATTAGAGAGAGAGAAATCAACATGAACTGAACTTATCAATTTCTCGATTATACATTGTAGGTCAATGGAGGGTAATACCCTCATTCCAATTCTAGGAGTATATGATAATGGAGAATAACCTATTATTTTCAGTATTAGATTATATCTAGAATAAATTAAATTGGTCGACATTGATGAGTTTGGATGTTGAGTGTTATGCCTAAGTAGGAAGTCTCTCTCCCAAGAGAACTTCGATCCCCTCCATCTCCCATAATATTCCAATTGTAACTTATATTGTTTATGGTGTTGAATTGAAAGAATTGAAAAATGATCACTTTGTAGAGAATTTTATCCTAAGTGAGACATAGTTTATAGAATGTATATAGATAATCTAACTGAATCATAAGAACTTTATTAAATATTACTTACCCCTGGAGGTAAAATATAATTAAATGTGGAGCAAAACTCTATCATTGATTTGAGAGGTCGACGTCTTGACAAAATTATATTAGACCAAAATGGTATAAGGGATTGCACATTTAATTAACAATGCTATGACTATTCTTAATATATTTCTCTCGAATATTAGGTCCATTTCTAAGAGTTTTTGGACATATTTTTGGGTAAATATATCCACACATTTATTACAAAGAATTGCTAGTAAATTTTTAGGTTATCCAAAGATATAGACCCATTTAGGGAGAGAATAAAGAATTGTATTTCACTATTATGTAATTCAATCCTTAGTTGAATTTCCATGGATTCAGATTGGAAACTTTCCCATATATAATGATGGACTAATATGAACCTATTTATCTCCCTCTCCTTAAGATTCTCTTGGGGTTTTAATATTTCTTTTGATTATTCATCCTACTTCGACTATCTCCTCCTAGGATAGGCACTTATTCACACACATAAAAGTCAAATAATTAACTTTTCCAAAGTATATATCTATTACTTTCAAGTTGGCATGTACTAATTTATATAGCACAATAAACCATATCTTCCCCCTGCCTCTCACACAATGGCTGATTATTTGCTCATAGGAAACTTTTTGATTCAACAATTATGATATACTAGATAATTAATGAACTGGCATTAGGGATACTTTCTCTTATGATATATAGCCCCAATTTATGGACAATATTAATTAAATATACCTAAGTGTTACCTAATATAGGAGATGAGGTAGTTAAGGTGAATTAATAGGCCATTATAGTTTATCTACATGCATACAGAGAATATATTATCACTAAATCTTATATTACCTTCAACTAAGATATATGCATTTCGGCATCAAATCTTCACCTATTGATGTTGGCAATTATTCCCTTCTTTGCTAAATATTACGCATATGTGTATATATATATATATATATATACACATACATATATTATCTATTAACATCCTCTCTCTCTCTCCTCTCCCTCTCACTATCAATATAATATTATTATTTTAAGTATTATTATAATTAGTAAATATTAGTATCTATTATAACTTTCAATTATAAGATGATAATATAATATAGAGATGGTATATAACGAATATATTAGGAGGAACATTTTTAAGGATTAGGTTTAACTGATAAGTCTCTTAATAGTAGAGACTTAACCTCTCCTCAAATAATATCCTACCGTATTGGAGATGAAGATAATATTAACCCCTTATCTTACAAAGTGTCGTAACTATCCCATAAACATAAACACAAGAATAGGATGTTACCCATTGGCTAAGGCTATAGTGAATAGATTGTTCAATAAGACCAAGAGACCAATTATATACTATATGGTTTTTGGCACCAATATAAATATTCCCTCTCAAATATGTCTCCCTTAGGTCATAGCCACTCGACTAAAAGGGCAATAAATTTTACAGTATAAGTTTTGAGACTAATAGATAATCATCTTATAATTGAAAGTTATAATAGATACTAAAATAATTGTCGAATTACCAATATAAGATAATAGAAGGTAATAAGGCGAACCTTCGAGTCTCAATAGCGTACTATCGACCATGATGCAATTATAGGACCCACTAATCAATTCCTCTATTAATATAATATGAACCAAAAGAATGAGGCTATCAATATATTCTAGATCTTATAATACACCATGGGTACCTTTAGATTAAAGTCTCTCTTAATTCTACTCTCTATTCACTTATATCCCATACTATCTAACCTTGGGTAGCCCTCTTTCCATTATAATAGGGGTTTTCTTATGTCTATTATGATATATAATATCGTGTAATAGGTGTATATTTTTCTAAACACCTACATAAGCTAATTGTAACAACACTATCTCTCAATCCATAACATTTTATGGGATCAACCAAATATAGATTATGATATTATGGGTGTTTGCTATAGGAGAGGGTGACCAATCATAGGTTAATAGTCTAAAATATGGGTGATTAATAACCAATAAGTTGAATATCCAATTATCGAGTGATCACATATGTAGGGTTAACGATTGGTTTTATGATCAAAGGTCTATATGTTCCTTGTTCTCATATATTGGAACTTATCTTTGGCTTATTCCATCACGAAAATGATTCCAATTAGGGGACATTTCTCAGCCAGTGTACTTCTAGAAATATAATCATCCTTACTCTTTTTGTCACTATTGGACTAATAATCTAAGAGGATTCACAACTACTTTGGTGATACGGATCTAAATTCTTTAGCAGAGAGATGGACAACCTCTGTTAATTTAAGCTACCTAGGTGTCTCCCTAAAGACCAAATGATGATAATATATCAATGACCGATAAAAGGTTTATGATTTGGTCGAGCCTAAAATAGAAGTATATGTGAACTTTATTATCCCTCCCTCTAGAATATATTGAAATAGGGTAAAAAATAATTCTACATATACTTCTATTAAGATCTATTGGTGTAAATAGGGTATATTAACTAGAGATTTTACCAACATATATCACTATTACTTAGTCCATACCATTTTTATAACCTTATCCTCCATATGAACAACTAACCCTCTATATCATTAAAAAAGGATTGCCTCCTTCTAGATATTATCAAAGGGATAATGTGTATATATATGTAAGTTACTTACACTATTGACTTAATATTATAATGTGAGTAATACCATTATAATATGTTTTCCACGTTTCTCAACCTATCTCTCCTCTATCTCTCCCTCTCCCTCTTGCTCTTTCATAGTATTTCTAGATTAAATTTATCATACTCTATGATCTCCTCAAAGATAATATCCATTGAGGGATCTTAATACATGGTCATTTCTGGTCCGCTCACTCAATTATTGAATTTGGAATCCAACGTATGTAGGATAACGTCACTAAAATATGTTGTCAATGCCATTGAGTAAATTATCAATACTAATCTCTCTTGATAAGGGATGCCCTTCACGTAAAAATATAGAATAGAATTAGCCACTCTCTCTATCTCCCTTTTATTGTTTATTAGCATTCAATGATCAACCTATACTTATTTAGGGGATCGTAAGTTAATCCATTGACATTATATTAACGATATCCTTTATATATAATTCATCAAATATAATTGTTATTCCCCTCTAAAGATGGCTAGACTATATCTAATCCAGCGTATTTCCATAGTTCACAATAATATCATAAAGTTTATTGATGGTCAATCAATAAAAGGGAGATAGAGAGAGGGACCTAGTTCGAACCTTTCACTACCAAAGATTCTAGATGTCTTTTTCTCTCCATGTCAATAAGTATTAGACACTATGATTTCAATTAAGGATATGATTATTTCCTAGGAATTGAGTGGTAGGTTTAAATATAATAGATTCAGATCCCTCCGCTGATCAATATAAATTCATAAAAGCAACCAAATGTATTAACAATGTTTAAATCAAGGTATTACCCAACTTGTACATCTTTGTCCGTAGTTATTCCCTTTAGTTTGAGGGACTGAATATATGTGACTATTATCTTTTTATCTTTTGAATTAAATATGGTGTAATTACGTTATATTCAATTACTTAAAGAATGATATTTAAGCATAAGGATAAATAATCGAGGCCCAAATGTGTTATTATAGAGGACCAATATCATATAGCTAATAATGACAACTATCATTCACTCATATATACTAGTTGGAGGTTTGCATATACCATTTAGTCCAATAATCGGAGATTTTGGGTACGATATATTCCATCTCGAGGTTAGAGGATTAGGTTCATCCCTGTTTAGCCATAGAGAGACTGCTCTTAGAAAGGATAGTTCAAAAATATATGCACTAAAGTATTATTGAAGTTAAGGCGATGATCGAAGGTGTTGCATAATAGAGGATTACGATGGTCCATAGTTTGATACCTCGATAGGATTAATCATGGCTTTGGGACTATCAAGATGGATATTTGAGAGATTAAAATAGTGTATCATTAGGGAATAATATGATGTTGATCTAGTTAATAAATAGGGGTTATACAAATCTTATTAACCCTAACAAAATTATAGTTAGGGATATTGATAGAATTACAAACCAGTTGGAGTATATCAAGTAAATTTTATGAATGAGGTCATAATGCAATATTATAGGAAAGTGATCAATTGAGATTAGGGAGCATGCATGATCCGACTAGTTAGAGATAAGAATAGGCCATTAACTGATGATTTTATATTAGATGGAATTAATCTTATAACGCAACATATTGCATCATACTCTAGTGTTTGAGGAACCCGGAGAGAGGGAGGGTTATAGAATATATATGTTTGATATTCACATTATTATCCTCAAAAGGTAATTGTCTCTCTATATTCATCTAATTTAGACAAGGATTTGAATAGTTTTGGAGACCTTCAATAGCTTAATGGAGATATTCCACACTCGTAGTTACAATTGAATATCAAGAGAGAGTAGGAGTGAGAGAGAGTGAGAGAATTAAACATACTCAATAGCCCACGCATTATCTATCACCCCTTCACAAGGTATTTTCCTAATAAGGTATGCGAGGATTGAATTCTCTCTCGGAACCGGATATATGGAAGTCGAGCTCATTTGATATATACCTCTATGGCCTAAAAAGTATCGAATTGGAATATTCTCCCTCTCTCTCACTAGATTAAAAGGCCGTAAAACATTGGTTTGATTACCTCTCTAGGTTATTTATGTTCCCTATTATTGGAGAGAATCTAATAGTATACTATATTTTTCGCTAGGGTTAATATAATAAGCATCGAACGATATTATGGACATCGTCTCCCTCATTTCATGGAGTTCACCTTCGTCCACCTATTTATTGGAGAATATATAAGGGTTAGGTATAATATATTCCCTCCCTATAGTTAATCGGTATTACTCAGGATTATCTAAGGATTAATTCATGTTGTTTTAGAATACCATACAAGTATGTCACCCTAAAATATATTCCCTCCCTATATTCGGGCTACAAATGATTCTTTAAGTATACTATAAAGATTCACCTAAGTTAAAATGAGGGAGAGAGATGAGAGTCCCTCTTAGTTTAATTAGACATATGGCTAATTGAGGGAGAGTGAATAGCCTTTACATGTCATGGGTGAATAGGTGGACCTATATTGAGGGAGAAGTGCACTATATATAGAAAAATTCTAGAACCTCTAATATTTATCCTATCAAAAAGATAGACTATATTGTCAATCCTTAAAAGTACACATATTGGTAATACCAACCCTCTTACATGTACCATGCTATTTGGTTCTACACGAATAAGTAGTCACATGCTTATGGAGAATTATGAATATATACTACCTTAGTATATATTATGTATATATAGTTTAACGTTTGATTTAATAAAAATGACCAAAATCAATATTCCATTCCTTAGAGGAAATTTAATAGTGATATGATGGAATATTCCTCTAGCAAGAGAGAGAGAGAGAGGAGAGATTATGGATGAGCTAGAATTGTGGATGAGCCTTAGGTCACTTATGGACATAAAAATGATTATAAATAAGAACATATGAGTGATTTTTACATACTTTAATACCTTACTTGACTATAACATAACTTTTAAAAGTTATTATGAGGATAGATATAGCAATTTTGAAAGTATTTAGTATATAACTCTCATAATGGCTCTCTCCTAGTTCACTAGAATTGAAAAGGGTCCCTAAGACCATAACTATGCTCAAATGATAACTATACCATTTTTACTTCCTCCTAGCTATTTACTCTTTAAATAGGCCATCATTTAGTTAATTTGGTAATAATACCAATTAATTATAACCATGTAGGTATTTAATGATCATAGGACATGAATAATGTAGGTATTCTTTAACCAAGAAGAATTTATAAAGGGATATAAATCATATTAGTGTTTGTTCCTATCCATAATTGTATAGATGATTAGGAACCCTTTAAGCTTGAAATATGGCATGATTAAACTAGCTATCCACTCATTGTCATCGTAACAATTATTTATTTATTTACTTTACTTTACCCTTCTTACATAGAGTATACATACGATAGGCTATAATTATTACTTGATATCCAATGACACAATAATCCCTTTATGATATTTCAAATTGTCAAGGATATTGCTCGACCCTATACAAAATTTTATTCACCCTTATACACATCATAGTTATTCCAAATAGTATGATTACCCCTAGGTAAACTATTAAATAGAGAGATAATCCGATATATTGTCAATAATAGGTACCTATTAGTTAAATTATCCTAGGTTTAATTAATTACATTTAACTCAATCCTAATAAGTCAAGTACATGTATATTAAAAACATGGGAATCTATTATCTATAATTATGGATAATATCCATATCTTCCTCTTGGAATAGTACGTTTCTGCTATGTTAACTCATATACTATCGTAAGGGTTAAATTTGAGGACGCAAATTTTGATACCTATCAATGTATGGGCTATTACTAGTCTGGTATATTACTATGAGTGGACCAATTTAGCCTATAGTTAATATCGATCGGCAATTAATCTAAGTATTTATTATCATTAATAAGGCATTGGCTTATAATTTCCTGTCCATACATGAGTTTGTTAATCCATGGTCATTTATTACTATTAGCCAACATAATAGGAGGCTCTTATATTAATCATGGGATATATATAAGCTGACATAAGAAATTACTCTCCCTTATAGATACCTATACACGTTGGTTAACAATATCTCAATAAATTACTATATTGGTATTGATTATACTATCTATCTCCATGCTCATGAGTAGAGAAATACAATTAAGGAAAGATATGATATTTTATCTCAATAGTATGTATAATGTGAATTTACATGAGTGTTACTTAAAAGAGAATAATTTCCTATATCAAAGGGGATACCTTATTAAATAAGGTCAACTACACATTAGAAGTATTAGGAAAACCAATAACAAGGGGTTGATAATCTAATATCCACCTATTCTTAGTGATCAACCTATCATGTTGAAGTATTATAACTTGGTCCACTCAAAGGGTTCCTAACTATGAGTTATTACATAGAAAGGGATAAATATCAACCATATTGATCATAATGCCTATCGATTACATTTGCTTAGGGTCAAGGGATAGTATCAAATTCCTAGAGCACTCAATCTATTAAGTTGATACACCCCTCCTAAATTGATATATGAATTTAGGCAGTATATCATTTTAGGATTGACATGACACCTATCTTTAAACATCTAGTTTGAATTGGTTTAATCAAATGTATCTATGGAAAACGTCCCCTAATTAGTTCACCATCCTACCTAACATTAAATCATTGTATGTAAAGAGGATAGTTCCTCTCCCTTCCCTATTTTGACCTACAATTCTCAGATTCCTTCTAAATGATAACCCATCCTAATAGGGTTAATCCTTTACTTATTAGGGTCTTTAATCTGATGGTAATAAAAGCATAATATGTCCCTCGATATCCATAGATCCTATTAAACATAGGTAACAAACTGTGTGCATATCATTAATGATGCCATAATATAATCACCCTTTTAGTATTTTATGGGCTTCTATTAATGTTATGATCTTATGGCTGATTACATGGAGTAAATCATGTTATAATTCTAGTAAGGTAGAATTTAGATAACACTAAATTCATAATTCAAGATCGTCAATATTAGTATTATCTTAGATATAATTATTCTCCCTAACTATTTTAATCTATATAGTTGACATTGTTCATTAATAGTCAATTGATTGTTATAACTAGGTAAGCATCACCCTTACCCGTGTATAGAGTATTGCCCTAACTTAATATCACCCCATTCGTGAGTATTGCTCTCTTATTGGTTACCCCATTCTAGGCTGAATATGGGTCTACCTATCACCTAATCCTCTTAACGATCCAAATTTTATAAAAGGAATATATTGGGTTAATTTTAACTATCAATTTGACCATATCGAATGGAGTATAAGATGGTATATTATTCAAGTATATAATTTGTAACACTAAATTCAACTTTCATTCTCTTATACGGTATTATTACCAATCCGACCTAAATCTATCTATAGTAAGTCATCGACTTCATGTTATTGATTATTGGTTCTAATCGAGCTAATAAGAATTCAGGTTATATAGATATTCTAATTAATGGAAAGGAATATCCTCACTTCCTCAAATTCGTTTCCCAACCTCCCTACATGTTACTCCAATCTTCCGCCTATATTATTTTAGTATCCTTAAAATAATGTTCTTAAGGTGCTATATCCTATAGCAGAATATGATATGTATAACCAAATTTGATCAGTATATAGGCCCCAATTTTAGGAACTATCCTCTTTCTAACCATTAATATGCCAAGAAGATTCTGATCCTATATCCCCATTCTAGATGTCGATGATATTATGAACCATATAAGGATGTTAACTAATAAGTCTTAGTCCTCTAGCTCTCTGTTTATTAATTTCACCCAATCTATCTTAGATTATTACCATTCTCATGTTATTGAGTTAATCCTACCTTACTATAGCATTTGATATAGGTTGTCATAACGTTAGCCATACATAGGTCGTATCTCTCTATCTAGATTACTATGAGATATAATGTCATCCCCCTATCCAACACTCCTTTATATGCATGGATTACATCCTTTGAGCTCTAAAATATAATCTCCATTATGTCAAGTTTTGATTTCCTATTAGTTGATATCCATCTAATACTACACGCAAGTTAATATTTCATGGCTAATTTGGATAACCCACAGATATTATATTTTAAACCAAGTCATACAATGAATGTTATCATCCTTTGACCCACGTACTAACTATACTTAGTAATATAGGATACAATCTCCATATTCTAACATATGTGTTTGAGAGGTTAATCTGCCATTACCATCTCACGCCTAAAATACAAGGGCATAGTCATGGTTAATAGATGATTCATGATAGCAAGGATGATATCACCAATATCAAACTTATCTAATGGATCCCCTTATATGAAGATTGTACGAATATCAATAACTCAAGGTTCTAGTAATTATAGGTACCCATATCTTATAACCCTTATAATAACCTGGTTATGATATTGTTTATTAGAAGGTATTGGCTATCCTATTATGTTTATCATTAAGATAAATCAATTTCTAGAATTGAGGAAAGATATGAATTAGGATAATGGTTATTATCATTTTTATCCCATATCATGATAGGATAGTATGGTATTAAATATTATAAATAATTAGCAAAAATACTTAAGTCCCTATATTCATACTATCAATTATGCCATCTTTCGAAAAGTGGTTGTGATAGGGCCATAAAAGTATCCTCAAACTAATATCAAAGTTCTATCCCCCTAACAGTGTTAGACCATTTTATGTTTTGGGTAATATAATTGATAGTAAGTCATCATAGAGATATACTTTCCCCTCGAGCTACTGAATTGTAGTTCATCTCCTTAACTGAGTGTATAAGAGATATGAGGCCATATGACTTAATTACCCTATCCGCCATTTTGATAATTGTTTGATTATACCTTTAGCTATACAATTTATATAATTTTTATAACATCATAAAATCCCTATTGTTATATACAATAATATAACTAAAAATAGTTATTTGAACGGATTAGGCCATGATAATCTATGTGATGAAGGAAGGAGGGACCTATTAAAATGTCCATGTTATATATGATAGACTATTACCATAGTAATAATGTAACCTCATTACTACCCTATCGGTTATACTTAGACATCTATATAATGGTTGATATAATCTCTATTGTATTGGAGATTAGTTTATATACCTTAATTCTCTAATTGTCAAATTGGGTCCCCTTGATATTAATGCACATATCAATGTGAATATATATATATATATATAATCAACTTCAACTAGGATTGGTCCCAGTAAGTTAAAAAAGCTTATTAGGCTATATTGAGAACCTTATTAGGTTCTAATGATATCAATTAATGCGGATTAGTATTTATATGAATACTAGCCTAAATTCATATTATTATTGCTAGACAATAATGCTTACTAATACATCATTTGAGGGACCTATCTAAGGTTGTACGTAAGGGTATTTATTTCCAAAATCCTACTAGGTCTTATTGACAAGCTAGGATATTGCTACTAGTAGGATAACATTGAGCAATATAGATTAAGGGGAATAGCCATGTAATCTGCCATTACCATGGTAATTATACCTTGTTCATGAGGAATTTATAAGGGTGATCCCCTATATACAATTATCACATTCCCTTATATGCAATAGTCAAATGGAGACTAATGGTTATAATAATCAATGGAAAATTTATTCTTGGTATTATTAGATATAGTATTCCATACCGTTTGAAATTTTCCTCATATATATGGATGTTGATTCATAATTGGACGGTATACTTAGGCTTATTGATAAGGTAGTATATATTATAGGTTCATAGGAATACTATAAACCCTTATTTTCATTAGTAAAATCCCTATTAAAATACACATGTGAATGATAGAAATTTACCCAAATTTGCCTTATTAGGTAACTTATCTCACGGTAATAGTTATTCATATGTTAGAATCGACAAACGCGTGAAAAGTTATTGTTATTACATGGAGTAGAATAATTTTCAATTGGATATACTAACTAAATATACCTTGGTATTTGAATCCTTGTAAGATTTATATTGATAGGTTAATGGGCATAAAATGATT